AGCAGCAGCAGCAACAGCAGCAGCAGCAGCAACAACAGCAGCAGCAGCAACAGCAGCAGGCGGCAGCTGCCCAGCATCAGCGCATGTCCGCCGCATTGGCGCACTTGCAGCAGAATGGCGGCCGAAGCGGCAGCAGCAGTGGCAACGGCGGCGGCGGTGGCGGCAGCGGCTCCAATGGCGGCAGCTCAGCCGGCGGCGGTTCGGGCAATTCGAGCGCCAACAGCGCCTCAATGCATCTGCAAAGGCATGCGGCATTGGCCGCTGCCTGCGCCAGTGCGTCCGGCGATGGGGCACAGCGTTTGTGTGTCATACCGGAGATACCCACCAGCAGCATGAATCTGACGCCGTACAAGGTGCAGAAGGTGTGCGTTGATAAGCATCTGGTGCCCTGCATCAATATGAAGGCCTACAATGACTCTGAGCAGCTGATGACCCTCACCGAATTCCAAAAGAACTTCTTTCCCAATGTCGCCCTGGATCATTGCAAGCGGCTAATTGAGGCGCTCCATGTTGAGCTCTACAAGGCGAATCGGTAAGTCGAAAACTTTTGCTATAGCTTCAGTTTAGTTTTAAGCCAATTTAATTAGCGAGTAAAATTCGCGTGCGAACGAGTGAATGCATCTCGAATAGGACTTCATTTATTAGCTGCTACTAAAAGTGTGAGGCGTTAATGTAGCGTAGTGTATGCATTAGCAGCAAATAAGAGTAGCGAGTAAGTTTAGCGAGTCGAGCCAAGAAACAAATATAGCGAGTGACAAGTTAATCTAGTGGATGAATGTTGTGAATGCAGCGAGTGAAGGTTAAAATATAACTGCAGCGGGAGTGAAAGCAGCCCAAAGACGATTAAGTTGAGCGAGTGTTGGGTAAATCTAGCGAGTATAATTTGGCTTATATTACGCTTAGCATTAATTAGCGAGTGAATGTGCAACGACTGTACCCAGTAAATGCGCGAGTAAAGATTAAAATATAACTGCAGCGAGTAAGTTAGGCGAGTGAAAGCAGCCCAAAGAAACGACGATTAAGTCGATCTAGTGGAACTCAGCGTGTTAAAGCAGCAAGTAAGAGTAACGAGTAAGCGCAGCGAGTGGATTTTAGCGAGTGAAAGCAGCAAGTAAATGTAACGAGTAAGCGTAGCGAGTGGACTTACGCGAGTGAAGGCAGCGAGAGTATATGCACAGTTGATAAAAGTAACGAGTGATTAGAGCGAGTCAACGTAGCGAGTGAATCAGACGAGTAAATATGTAACGAGTGCAACGATTTACCTGACTTTTCTTTATTATTCGTCGCTCTCATCTCAACACAGGCGTCAAGTACAGATACTGATGGAGTACGATCGTTCCTACAATGAGAATATGCCGCTGGTGCAGGTACGCGACATAATCAAGTACATGACACAGTTGACATTCATGACACGCCAGTCGGAGCAGCCGCCGTCGAAGCGTACGCGCACAAGCTAGGAATTAAGCTGGGGAGCACAACATTTGCCACAAACATCAACAGCAAAAACAATAGCAACAACAAAAACAGCCACAGTCACAGACAACAGTAACATGTTAGCAGCAGCAGCAGCAGCAGCAGCAGCAACAACAACAGCAGCAACATCTTCATCAACAACAACAACAACAACAACAGACAAAACACATAAAACAACACCCGCATCTCACATGGCTCATTTGGCACCGCCGCCAGCACCACAACAGCAACAGCAACATCAGCAGCAGCAAAAACACATTCAGCAACAACAGCAACAACAACATCATCATCATCAACAGCAGCAGCAGCAGCAGCAGCAGCAAAAGCAACAGCAACTCTATCAACAAACAGCACACAGAAACAGCAACACATACGAAATGTTGTACTCCCACAACCAACACCCGCAATCGCAATCGCACTCGCACACGCTGCCCCTGGCGCTGCATACAACGCAACCAGCAGCAGCAGCAGCGGCAGCAGCAGCAGCAACACGCCAGCAACAGGAGCAACAGCGCCAGCAAAAGAAGCGGCAACATGCCGAACATCAGCAACATGCCAGCAGCAGCAGCAGCGCCAATAAAACCAGCAGCAGCAGCAACAGCAGCAACAGCAGATCCGCTGCACAGCACATGGCAGAGGCGGAGCACGCCTATTTGTCCAATATGTATAGCAAGGCGGCTGTCAATATGCTCAGCCCGCCGCTGGCTGCCGCGCACGAGCCGCGTCGCAGCAGCAGCAACAGCAGCAACACCTTCGACTGGAGCCTGGCACAGCAGGAGGCGGCCTCGCAGCAGCAGCAGCAGCGCGTCGTGCGACGCGCTGCGCCTGTGGCGGCTGCTGTTGCCGCCGCCGCCGCCGCCGCCGATGCGGCAGCTGTGCGTCAGCAGCGGCAGGCGATAATGCATCGCAGGCACAGCATTTGTGCGGCCGGCATTGCCAGCCTGTCGCCGGCCTCGTCCACCAACTCCTCGTCGGCGGCATCGCCAACGACATCGGCAGCGGCGGCCGCTGCGCTGGCAGCGGCCTCCTATTATGGCGCCTTTACGGCGCCCTATCATCATATGAGCGCTGCGGCGGCAGCGGCAGCGGCTGCCCATCATCAGCATGGCCAGCCCTCGCCGACGATATATCCGCCGACGCCGCCGCCGTCGGCGCCCTGGGTGCATCCCTGGTATGCGGGCGATCCCTTTTAAGCGAAATCAAAAGCAAAAACAAAACAAAAAGTGAAAGAAAAAGAAGAGGAAGAGGAAGAAGAGGACGAAGTAGAAGAAGATGATAAACAAAACTAAAACTAAAATGCGCTTCTCCCATGTACATTTGTAGTCTATGCCTAAGTTAATTTATATATACATATTTGTTTATCTGATAATATCACAACACACAATTAATTTTTTTTTTTTTTGATAAATTTAAATTTTTTTTTTTTTTTTTTGATCGTGTTCTTGTTTAGCTTGTAAGTAGGTTAACTAATTATCGGGGCATCACATGCCGCAAAGTAATTGGTTATCGATAGTTACACGTAGCGAACGTATATCGATAACACAGACACAGCGCCAACTGGACTAAAAGAAACTATCGTACATTTTGCTAAAACTACAACCGTTTTCTTGTTTGAACGCAAATTTTTTGTTGTTTTTTAAAACTGAGAACTCAAAGAACTGATTACATTAAAAAAAAAAAAAGAAAAAAAAAGCCAACAGCAACTGATACAAAAAAGAAAGAAACAAACGAAAGAAACAAAACTGAATAATAACTTAAATATTTTTCAAGGTCAGGCACACACACACACACACACACACATTTATTTATTTATTTTTAATTTGTTTTTTTTTTTCTGTTTGTTCGAATTAACAAGAAGAACAATAAGATTTACAGCTCGTTCGCTGGCGTAAAAACCCGACTGCATAGTTAATAAATTAATTTCATTTTTCATGCGCATTCAACTCGGCATGCATATAAATAAGTTATATAAAGTCATTAAATTGTAATTCTAAGCAAGAAATACAATTTCTTGCAAAACTACTCAAACAAACAAAATTCAATTGTACTATAATGAAATTCATTCGGTTTGTGTCCGGCTTCCGTTTCAGAACTTGCCACAAGCCATGTTAAAACAAAATGTTCCATATAAGAAATCGACAACTTATGTACTTTGTAAATGAACAATTTCCAAGTCTTAATAATTATTCTAAAAAACAAAAAAAAAAAAAACAAAAAAAAAAAAAAAAAAAAAACAAAATGATTAAAAAAGAACGTTTAATATATATATATATATATATATGTTGAAAACATACAAAAAATGCTTATGTTAAACAATGTATGTATATAATCATGTATTATGCATCTATTTATACATGGATTATGTGTAATAAGTTATATAAATAATATCCGTTTTATGGATTATTTGGCAAAGAACAAGCTAAACGCTAAACATATTTATTTGTATTACAAATTTGTTTATTCTAATTATATGCTAGACATACACACATACATATACATATGCATATATATATATATTTTTTTTGTGCTGTTATTAAATTAGCTGGGGGAAAATGAATATTTAGGAAATTTATACTGTCGTTTCAGTTTCTGCACACACACACACACACACACACACACAGCTACACCCTAAACCACATACATATAGATATATATATAGATATATATATTTTTTATTGTTAGTTGAAGCCGTCAAAGTATTTATAAATCATTATTTTTTGTTTCCTGTTTATTAATTTTATTTCAAGGCCAACAGAAAATAAAATTTACAAAATAACGCAACTAAATGAGAATGCAACAAAATTAAGTTAAATAAATTAAAACAAAACAAAAAACAAATAATAATTGCTACAGCTTTCAAATGTTTTCTTTTTTCGCGCCTTGCTTGTTGCGCTTCAGCTGCTTAAAGGTGGCAACGCTGTGCGCGCGCGCGTTCAAGCGCCAGTGTTGCACAACGGCTGGCCGAATATCGATATATCGCAATCAAGTGCACACAAGTTGTTAAATGCAACCCTGTTCTGCGGCCAGCCAACAAAACATTCGTATAAATAATAATAAAGCGCAGCAACCGACGGCCCCGAGGCGTCGCCGAACAACGTCAACACAATGGGTTTTCCGCGCATTCTCAGCAAGAATAATAAAATCTATACGAAACTGGGCGAGTTTTGTCTATCCGGCGACAGTTTCTGGATTGTCTGCCATACATGCCAGGAGGAGCTGCAAACGCAGGACGCATTCTGGAAGCATATACAAGATGAGCACAATTTCCTGCACGGCCTGGCCAAGGTAAGCGCCACAGCCAGCACATCTGTAACTCACAAGCAACAGATCTGGCCAACAAATCCAAACGCATAGCCGTATTGCTTTTGGCGCCCAAAATGTTGTATTCATGTTTGTTTATGTGCAGCAGGAGCACGGCCGCAACTCCAGCTATTGCCTGCCGGACGTGGACGCTGCAACGGCGCCAGCAAACCAGACGGCATTGCCCGTGCCGCTGGCCCTCTACCATTGTGCCAAGTACAGCGAGGAGGAGCAGCGAGAGGTTGCCGCCGCTGTCGAGCTGCACGAGGCGCAGCAGCAACAGCAGCAGCAGCAGCAACAGCAACAACAGCAACAGCAGCTGCAGCAGCAGCAGCAGCAGCGCGACTCCGCCGAGCTGCAGGCGGTAACAGCCGCTGCCGAGAGCAGCGCGCGCAGCAACAATAGCGGCAGCGGCATCGACATCAAAGTGGAGCCCACCAGCCTGACGCTGACGTCCGAAATACAGGTGGCAGCTGCTGCTGCTGCTGCTGCCGCGGCTGCCGGCGCCGCCGCCGCGGGAGCTGTAACAGCAAACACAACCATCTATCATTTGTCACAGGTGGTGCCGGGGCCGCCGCCACCGCCGCCGCCAACGCCCTGTTTTGTGACAACGCCAACAGCTGGCGGAGTGAGCACAACGCCGCCGCATCCTGCACTGGCCGGCCCAGTCGGAGCTGGCGGCAACGGTGGCAACGGGGCCAATGCAACGGTTATGCAGCAGGCATGCGGCACGCTGGGCATGCCGCTGCTCGGCGTTGCCGCTGGCCAGGCGGAGCTGGTGGCAAAGGAGTCGAACAGCACAACGGCCAGCGCCAGCAGTGCCGTCTCCTCGGACGATGGCGAGCGCTGGTATATCTGCGATTATGGCGCCTGTGGACTGAAATTTAAATACAAATCGCGCATGGAGCTGCATCGGGTGGTGCACAGCAAGGAGCGGCGTTTCAACTGTGATATGTGCAGCGCCTCCTTCAAGCAGTCCTGCAATCTGTCCACGCACCGCAAGAAGAAGCACTCGCTGCGGGGCATCAAGAGCGAGCTACTGCCGCAGCGCTTCTAAAGGCGGCGCCGCCAGGATTCAGCCCAGCCGAGCCCAGCCCAGCCCAGCGTAGCCCAGGACCAAGTGCAAGCGTTTTCGTTGTAAGCCCAAACCCAAACTGAATCCTAATCCCAATCCATCTTAAGCCATTTTCTATACATATATATGTATATATATATATATAGATAGATTCCCTTTTTGTTGTTTAAGTCCTTGCACGTTTTTCAGCAATTTTGTTTTAATTTGTTGTTAACATTTCTTTTATTATTATTATTATTTTTTTTTTTAAAAACTATAAATATTCGATTTAAGTTTATGCTAAATACGTATATAGATATATTTAAATATATATTGTATGTATTTTATAGTCTTAGTAAGCCCCCCCCCCACCCCCACCCCTCCTCCTTCTCCACGACGCGCCTTCTCCTCATCCTTCTAACACACACAATTTTAGTGTTAAGCAACGTACATGTTTAAGTGAGGTTATGTTAACCTTCCGATGGGCATAGCAAATTGGTGTACTTAAGCCGATTTTCGACTGTGCATGAATACACAAACACACACACACACAGACACATGCAGAGACTGTGTCTGTGCATGTTTACATATGTATGTATATGTTATGTTCTAGCTGTAAATGCAGATTTTTATGTAGTCGTTAAGCATTGACTTTTTCGGGCAGAAAGTTACCGTTAATTTAAGTCAGACATGTGTATTTTGTAAGCAGTAGGAGAAAGTGTAAGAGAAGTTCAAGAAAACAAAAGAGTATAGTTAACAGTTACCAAGACCGTTAAATCAGTTGTTAGCAATTACATAACAGTTACATTTTAACATAAATATGTCAAATCACAGCAACAATGCGATCAATCCGACAAAAAAAAAACAAAAACAAACAAACAAACAACCTCAACAACAACAACAAAATACATACATACCTTAATGATTGTTCCGCCAAATGTGCAATCGCTCTCTTTATTGCTCTCGCTCGCTCTTATACTGGCACAGCGAAATGTCCCGTTTGCGCAGCAGGATTTATTCGCTCGTTATGTTGTCCACAAAATACTGGTTGGCTTGCGTCTTAGCTGTTAAGCCGGTTCGTGTCCTTGCTGGCGCCGCTGCACACATTTAGTACGCAATTTTGTTGCGCTGCCAATTCGCCGGGTTCGTGTCACAGTTGCCATAATTAGTAAGTACGTACACAAACCACTTTGCTAATCGATTTTCATTTTTCATTTGAAGCATTCAAAATGTGATTGAATTCTATAATAATTTATAATGTATAATGTTTTGTATCGTGCAGGAAGTACATATATTCTTGATCAAGACGAACGGCTGAGTCGATCCAGTTGACGTGAACACCACGAGCTCGGAGAACAGAAGTGACATGTATATCATTTTTATCGATATCTTCGATAACTATCGATCAAGTGTCGAGAAGCATCATCAAATCTGATAAGAATAATACTACACTTATTGGATACCAGCCCATAAATACTATTGCTGCTCCAATAATGACTTTAAGCAACAACCTTGTTGAAGAGTCCTTCAATTTTCATGTCCGGCATTTACATACATAGTTGCATTTCGTTCAGCACAGCAGAAGCTGATTGCTGCGAGAGCCGAAACCTGAATCCTCTTCATTTTTAATGAACAGCCCGAACAGCATATAAGAGCGCGTGTCTGTGTGTCCGTGTGTGTATGTATAGATTTGTATATTTGTGCATTGGTATTGATATTGCTGCTGCTGCTGCGCTTGAATGAAGGAAGGAAATATATATATATGTATGTATGTATACAATTGAAAGCACAGCGAAGGGACTGGGAGGCAGCAAAGAGAAAATCGTAAATGAAGCGGAAATTGAAATGTGTGCGCCAAACGAATGCTACGCACTAGATTTTTGAAAGGTTTTTTGTGTTGATGTCTGCCGCTCAATACATGTACATACATACATACATACATACGTACAAACGTAAGTATGTGCATGTGCATGCCCACATACTCGCCCACTACACCCACACACACACACGCACGCTCAATTTGTTCGCAAGCCTTGGCTCTGTCTCACTAAAGTGTATGCAAGCAGTTTTACAACCACACACACACACGCGTACACTTGAACTGCATGCCAAAAACACAGCAAGCAGCGCAAAGGAGATGCAAGATGGAGTTCTGCCGGCGGCAAAACGATCAAACGCATGATCTTGCTGCCTTTGTCTAGCATTTACTTTCTATGCGCCGTTTGTATTCGTTTCGCCTACGTGCGCAACGTCGCCTCGGCGACATAACTGTAATTGTGCCGTTGTCTTGCTGCTTAAGCACATTGCGTTTTTGTTGTTGCACTAAAGAGACTACGAAAAGAGTTGCCGGCGAAATTTAGTTGTGTTTTGTGTGTGAAAGTGAAAAGTTGCGGCTGCTTGTTCATTGGCATATTTAACGTGGTGAGTCATACAGAAGGCATTATTATTTAAAATAGATTGTTAAGCATGTGTATTTATCTTTGCAAATGCATTCATTCGAATGTTGTGCAACGAACGAACGTTCGCTCCTTTCGCGTCGTATCATACTCTTCTGTGCTTCTCCTTTGAGACCCAATACCGTTGACTTAACTGTTTGTCGTGTCCCATTATCGTTCGTTTTGTTCTTCTGAGTCAGCAGGTCGCGAATGCCCGTCGAAGTTGAAGGCTTTAATTTATGTCTGCCATGCCATGCCATGCCCATTTACCTCATTGTGCGCAGCGGACAAGTGTACAGTTAGAGAGTTTGGTGTGGCGGGAGAGTGTTAACAGTTAAACTGTCGCAATTGCTGCTCGAAATGGCATTGTTTGCATTGCCGTCAAAGGCGCCAACTACTGATAGCATTATTTATTTAACGGCATTCAAATGCATTCTCTGCGCCTTAGAGATGGGCGCGGGCCAAACAATTGCGGCGCGGTCCAGCACAAACACGAGCACGAGCACAACAAAAAGGCCAAGAGCTCAGAAAATTATGCTACACTTTCGTATGACAAATCAGCTTATTGGCATTTTAGTGTAGATATATGTATTTTAAACGGGGCAGTTGGGATTCGGTGTGTTGTTTAGGATATTGCTTAGTATGTGAGGCCAGCATTCGAATTGTTTTTCGTGCCTTAGAGGTCAGGCTCGAGAACACGCTCGAAACTCACGGCCAGCTCACATCTCTACTGAGCAGCTTCCGTTCCCCTTCCCGCTGCAGACGCGGTCGCTTCTGTTGCATACACCGCCAAAAATATTGTTAAAGCAGGCCAGCAAGCGAAAGAGCGAGACGGGTACACTGTTGAATCGGGCTTGGGCTGAATCGAAGCACTGCAAATGGAAAGAGCTGTAAAACAAGTCTTCCATCGACAGCTTCAATTTAAAGCGCAGCAAGCTGAGTGCGTATGTGTGTGCGTGTGTGTGTGTGTGCTGTATTAAAAGAAAACCCCAGAAAATCAAATTGAAATTCTTCTTGTTACGGTAACCGCATGTTTTTCATTTGCCTGTTTAAAAGCAGCATAGCTTTTTTTTTTTTGCCGCGGCATGCAAATGTGGGTATATTGGCTAGGAATTTAATGTGTTTATCCGGTTTATCGATAACCCGTTTCGGATTAAAGGCGGCCAAGTGCAAGTCATCAAGTTATCGAACATTGTGTCTTCAGGTGAATTGTCTATCAGAAAATTAAACCAATTTTATATCATTTTTAAAGAGAATTTTTAAAGCGCAGACAAGCGCCTAAGCAGTTCAGCAGCTGACTTCAAATATAAATGTATATCGATACGATGCTTATCGATAACACTATATCAACAAGCTTAAACGAGTTATCGACCAGCTTTACCCAGTTGTAAGGCATAAATATTCGACGATTTATTGTTCTAGCTATTTATTAATCGATTTACTGATCTTTATATATAACTAATTTATCGATAACACTGCAGCTTAGCCAGTTATCGATCGGTTTGATAGGGAAACTACGCGTTGAGCACAGCCTTTACCTGGAAAAATGCACAGTTGGTGCTAGTTGACTTTTGCTTTGTTTCTATTTACTGCTATTGCACTTGCAATTGCCGTTGCACTTGCTGTTGCAGTTGCAGTTGCAGTTGCAGTTTCAGTTGCAATGGCAGCTTACAGCTCTCTGACTGATGAAACCCGTAAACGTTTGTGATAACTTGGGCTAGTAATTAGAGCGCTTGTTGATAGCCGACTGCAATGAATTGGTCCACAGAAATGGGCAACATTTGTGGCAACAAATAGAAACTGAAATTAGCAACCGACGCTTGTGAAATTCTATGTTTTCATCAAGTATGTAATTATAGTGCCAGGTCGTTGAATGCTTTCAATTTGCAAAACTTTATCTGTAAGATTTATGTGTGCAGAGTTGGGCAAACGTCTCAAACGAACCAAACTTAAGCTGACCCAAGCTAACTTTTGGTTAACATTAATTATAATTGGCACCGTATCTAGCTGTAAATTTGGCCAGAGATACATGCAACAACTGCAGCCGGATACAAAGCCTGAAATGCACAATTAATTACATTGTCGAAACTCGAGCCGTACTGCAACAAGGTCGCCGGGTCGTCTCCCATGGGCGTTGCCTTAACAAAGTGCTTAATATTTAATTAACTCGAGCTTGGGCAACGCGGCAACAGTTGTCAATGCCTGACAGTCAGGCCATTTGACAGCCACATTAAATTGCAACACTATTATTTACCATACACTTTATTGTTGTTGACAAAATCGTGGCTGTCATTTAAACAAAAAATAAACTCAGATTGACCGTTAGCAACAACTGCAAAATCTATTTTGAATTGCAACTTTTACGGTTTTGCAATCAGTGTTGGGAAATTTTCTCTTTGCTTCCGCTGCGCGCCAAAAGTTATATGTGCTCTCTTTGGTTTCCAGTATTGGAAGGTGGTTGAATCGTTGACTTGGCAACCCTGCATATTGGTTTTCTTGTGGCGTTGCTAACGTTCTGACTGACAACCAGTTTGATTGACTATACGAAATTTTTGCTAATAATACTCTTTACTGTATTTATGTGTTTAGCATAGATCTTTGTATGCTAGCTTAGTATGCGTTATTATGCTATTATGGAGACACCTTAGAATCTTAAAGTATATATATTCTCGATCCGCAGCAGCAATCATGTTTGTTTGTCTGTCTGTTTCTGTGCAAACTAGTCTCAGGGTCTCTCGAAGCTGTCGTCTTGAGATGGATCCGTCCTTCTGTTGAAGGCAGTATATAGTTCGTAACCGGCTGGATCGAACTAATATATCCTATAGCTGCCATAGGAATGATCAGTTGAAAATGTGGTTCTTGTATGAAAAACTTCTTTGTTTATTGAGATATCGTCAACAAACTGGGCATTTATCAATTTGACCTTTCTTCCTACAGATATGAAAAATCTTTGGAATATCGGAACACTATATCATATATAGGAACAATTGTTTTAATGTTAGGTCCTAGTTGGAAAAACTTCTTTGTTTTTTAATAAATATGGACCAAATTCGGCCTCTATTATGATAAAAATCGTATCAATATCGCATTGCTATACTTCTGCAGGAAGAATCGGTGGAGAGAAGAGTTTTTGTTTTATCGAAATATTCGGTTTTCGCAGATATTAAACTTTTTGATTTATTTGGGCAGCGCATTGCTTAGTCGGTGCAGAACTCTAGGCCGGCTTCCAGCCCAGTTTCCAGTTGATGCTCTTCGATACTTGGGCAATTTTCTCTTAAGTTTTTTGCTGTTGCTAGTTTTTCAAGCAGCCAGAACGATTTTGCCGCGCCCCCCACTCCACCCACTCCACTTTCCCAACCTTTGGATATGGACGGTTCTTGGGCACGCTTAGAAGCAGTTACATGTGGGATAACGTTAAGGATAATGTAAAGGATTTAAGCTACTTGCCGGTAATGTCAGCCGCTGCGAACCGTTGCGGTCATATGAGTGTATGTGTGTGTGTGGGGGGGAGGGGGGGAGAGGTGGGGCTGTGTGTGTGTGTGCGCGAGGTTAAGTAGCATGCAGGTAAATGCGGCCGCCTCTGTTTGTGTTGGGCACACCAGAAATTGGGCGTGGGGCATCTTTGGATTATGTGCGTCTTAGTCAAAATGCCGGCTCAAGGACAAACGAGACGCGGCTACACTTTTCATAGCCTACTTATAAGCGCGCCCAGGTAGCTGCAGCTGCCTGAGGAGAGAGATCGTCGCGGAGCGGCTGGGCCAGTTATGTATATAGTGTGTGGCAGGTATGGAATTATTGACTGTGGCAGGCCAGCGCCACACAATGGCCGTTCAATTGAGCCCCATTGAAGCGTTGGGAATAACAATGAATGCTCCGCTAAAGCAACACGCCAGCCCGGCCATGGAGTGCATGACTCATCCGTCCAGCCATCCAATAACGAACCATCTCTGTGGGGCAGGGCGATGGGGCTTCATGTGAAACAAAAGTTTTGCTTGGCTTTCTGGTTGTGCTTCTTCGTTTTTTTTTGTTTTTTTTTTTTTGGGTTTTTATGAATTGGGCAAAGTTTTATGGAATTT